ATTTTTATTAATTATAAATGGTCCATAAGGTCCTAGTTAGTCATATATTTATCCTAGTTTACTCCAATATTTATTTCATAATTATTTTCGTCATTTAGTTAATTATTTACTAAATGTGTATAAATTGGCCTAATTACCATTAAATCAATTAAAAATAGCTAAAAATATTATTTTCCAATTCTGGTTGGTCCGAATATGTATATTTATACTAGGTATTTAATTTATATTTTTCCAGATTTTATTTATTTCATTTACTATTTTATTTTTAATTTTTATTGCAACTGGGCCGAACTGGCCCATTTATAATTTTTTCTGGCCCAACCTGAAAAGGCCCAAAAGACAGACCCAGCAATTGCTGGGTTGTCTTCTTCCCCAGGTCGCCGGAAAAACGGGGAGAGAGAAAAAAAACGGGGAAAGAGGTTTTACCTCGTCGGAAACGGCCAACGGGGTAGCGGTGCACTCCTCTCGGGACGGCGAATGACGGTGGTGGATTGGCGGAAGTGGCAGCCCCTCCCTCTTCTCCGTTTTCCGTCGAAAAGCTTTTCTCCGGCGAAACTCCGGCGAGGCTTTTCTCCCTCGTTTCACGACCGTTTTCGACGATTCTTTTTCCGTTGGATTCGTATCACGAAGGGGAAGGTTTGAGAAGTATTTTCAGGGCTTGTTTCTGGCTAAAACGCTGGGTCGTAAAAATATATATAAATACGTATATATGTATATTTCTTAGTTTTTGGGATGAAGAAAACGCAGGTTCTGGCCTATTATTTATAGGGGAAGATGAGGGTTTTAGAGTTGGAGTTGGAGTTTAATCAATTTCGTTTTTTTTTTTTTGAAGTTGCCAGCCAAAAATTTACGTATAGTATTGTAATTAGGTTAGGTAGTTGAATATGTATTATAGTAGGAGTATAGTATTATAGTTAGGTTATACTAGTTTATTTAGGAGTATAGTAATTATATTTAGGTTAGGTAGCTTAGTTTAGTTATATTACGTATGTAATATTACTTAGGTTATACTACTATTACTAAGTACGTATATCTATATATATATATGTATATATACATATATATATATATGTAAGTATTAAGATTATTTTAATTATTTAGTTTATATTTTGTATATTATACAATCTAAAATAGTTATATAAAAATTAATTTTATACTAAAACATAACTTCTATTATCGGGTCATTTTTATCTGATTAAAAAGTCTTAAACTTGGAAATTTTTATCTGATTGGAATGTTACAACTGTTGAATTTTTGTCTGACTCAATTAATTCAAAAATTGTTATTTTCGTAATATTTTATCTGATTAAAAATTATTTTTATTTTTATTTAAATTTTTGAAGTGTCACACTCTACCCTCCTTAAAAGATGTTTCGTCCCGAAACATTAACTTAATCTAAGTACTCAAATTCTTAAGTATTACATTCTACCCCCCTTAAAGAGAGGTTACGTCCTCGTAACTAATATTTTACCTTAGTCAAATAACTCTGGATAACGTTTGCACATATCCTCCTCAGTCTCCCATGTGGCATTTTCGGCCAAATGGTTAGACCACAGCACCTTCACCATCTTAACCGCTTTTCTTCTAGTTTCACGAGTCTTAGTATCCAAAATCTGGATCGGCCTCTCCTCGTAAGTCAACGATTCATCTAACTCGACCACCTAAGAAAGTCGAGGTTAGATGTGATACTTGGACCTAATTATCATAAGGTTACGATTCGTACCTCGGGGTTAAGAATATGGGATTCGTCGCGGACATACTTCTTCAATTGGGAGATATGAAAGACATTGTGTACCTACGCATCACACACTTTAGTACTTGAGAGAAGTTTATTAAGGTATTCACTAACGAGCGGTTATAGTATGTTATACCTTAGCCAACTCGGTGGGTAGAGCTAGACGATATGCAACTTTTCCCACTCGCTCGAGGATGTCATATGGCCCAATGAACCTCGGGCTTAGCTTTCCCTTCTTTCCAAATCTCATTACTCCCTTGGTCGGGGAGACTCTGAGTAGGACTTTCTCTCCTGCTTTGAATTCGGCTGGCTTCCTTCTCAAGTCTGCATAAGACTTCTGACGATCTTGTGCAGCTTTCATCCTTGCTTGAATCATCTTCACTTTCTCTATGGTGTCTTGGAGGTAATCCGGCCTTAACACCACTTGATCTTCCATGCCACTCCAGCATAGTGGGCTTCTACATTTTTGACCATATAGAGCTTCGTACGGGGCCATTTTGATACTGGCGTGGTAGCTATTATTGTATGAAAACTCTATTAAGTCTAAGTGTTCGTCCCACGATCCTTGTAGGTCTAACATACATGCTCTTAGCATGTCCTCGAGTGTTTGGATGGTTCGCTCCGTTTGTCCATCAGTCATCGGGTGAAATGCAGTACTTAGCTTCAACTTCGTCCCCATAGCAGCTTGCAACTCCTTCCAGAATTGAGATAGGAATCTGGAATCTCGGTCAGAAACAATGTCTTGAGGAACTCCATGGTACTTAACCACGTGCTTGATGTAGGCTCGGGCTAACTTCTCCATGCTCCAAGTCTCGTTCATCGGGATAAAGCGAGCGGTCTTTGTTAACCGGTCGACTATAACCCAAATTTTGTCATGGCTAGACTTGGTTAGGGGTAAGCCCCCAACAAAGTCCATGGAGATGGAATCCCACTTCCATTTTGGTACTTCCAAGGATTGCACGAGTCTCTTGGGCTTGCAACGTTCGGCTTTCACCTTCTGGCAGTTCAAGCATCGAGCCACGAATTCAGCTACCTCTTTCTTCATGTTCGGCCACCAAAAATTCTTTTTGATGTCTTTGTAGAGTTTGTCGCCTCCAGGGTGCACTGAGTAGGGCGTGTTGTGCCCTTCCTCCATGATTTTCTTCTTAAGCTCTTCGCATTTCATCGGAACACCCCATCTTCCTTTGTGTCGAATGCTCCCGTCTTCGTGCAGTTTGAACGGTCCGTTCACGCTATTTGTCATACCGGCTCGGATTCTGTCCAACTTGATGTCTCCAGGTTGCCCTTCTCGAATTTCGTCGAGAATAGATGGGGTAACGGTCATGGTGAGTAACCGCGTTTCCTGATCTACCTCTCCGAAATCCCGAACTTCCAAGTCTAGCTTCTGAAAGTCCCGATATAGCTCATCAGGAAGTATCCATGTTGCTTTGCAGGAGTGAGTTGATTTTCGGCTCAACGCGTCGGCAACTACGTTCGCTTTCCCTTCATGGTACTGGATCTCCAAGTCGTAGTCTTTGACGAGTTCTAGCCAGCGTCTCTGTCTCATGTTAAGCTCCTTTTGGGTGAAGATGTACTTCAGGCTCTTGTGATCGGTGTAAACTTTACAGTGTACCCCATAGAGATAGTGCCTCCACAGCTTTAGAGCAAAGATAACCGCTGCCAGTTCTAAGTCATGAGTCGGATAGGTTACCTCATGTGTCTTCAGTTGCCTTGATGCGTAGGCCACCACTTTGCCGTTTTGCATCAATACGCAACCCAATCCCTTTAAACAAGCATCAGTGTAAATCTCGAACCCTTCAGTCCCAGATGGTAGGGTCAAGATAGGTGCAGTTGTTAATCTTTGCTTCAGCTCTTGGAAAGCTTTCTTGCACTCATCACTCCATATGAACTTCGTGGTCTTCTTCGTGAGATTAGTCAAAGGTTTTGCTATCTTTGAGAAATCCTTCACGAATCTGCGATAATAGCCCGCCAAGCCTAAAAAGCTCCGGACCTCCGTCACGGTTGTGGGTGCAGGCCAGTCTATCACCGCTTCGATCTTGGATGGGTCAACGGATACACCTTCTTGAGTGATAATATGGCCCAAGAATGCGACCCGGTCCTTCCAGAAATCACACTTTGAAAGTTTGGCGTAAAGCTGATTTTCTCTCAAAGTCTGCAGGACGAGCCTCAGATGCTCTTCGTGATCTTTCTCGTTCTTCGAGTACACCAAAATATCATCAATAAACACTACCACAAAAGTATCAAGGTATGGGCGAAATACACGGTTCATTAAGTCCATGAATACTGCTGGTGCGTTGGTTAAACCAAACGGCATCACGGTGAACTCATAATGCCCATATCTTGTACGAAATGCAGTCTTCGGTATATCTTTCTCTGCGATCCTCACCTGATGGTAGCCGGATCGAAGATCAATCTTGGAAAATATACCCGCTCCCTTCAGTTGATCGAACAGGTCATCTATGTGAGGTAGCATGTACTTGTTTTTGATGGTCGCGTTGTTTAGTTCCCTGTAATCGATGCAGAGTCTCAGACTCCCATCCTTCTTCTTCACAAATAAGACCGGAGCGCCCCAAGGTGAGACACTCGGTTTGATGTAACCCTTCTCCAACAGTTCCTCGAGTTGTTCTTTTAGCTCTTGCATCTCCTTCGGTGCCATTCGGTATGGTGTTTTTGAGATGGGTCCGGTGCCTGGCATTAGATCTACTGAAAACTCAACTTCCCTCTCTGGCGGCATCCCCGGAATTTCTTCTGGAAACACGTCCGGAAATTCATTGACCACAGGGATTTGGTCAATGGTTGGACTCTCGGACGTCAAGTCTTTGATCATGCACAAGAAAACCTCATACCCCTTCCGGGCATATCTTTTGACTTGCTGCATGGTTGCCAGCTTCACGCCTGGCCTAGATGTGACCGTTTTGTAGGATATACGTTTCTTATTGGGTCCTCTTAAGACCACCTTTTGTTCATCACATAGGATTTTGGCTTTATATTTCCCTAGCCAGTCCATACCCAACACCACGTCGATATCCTCCAAGTCAAACTGGATTAGATCTCCGGGTAGTTCGGTATCGGATATGACTATGGAAATATTGGAGAAAACATTCCCACACGCTACAACTTTGTTGGATGCCGTTTTTACATTAAGATTAAGTTTAGAGCTAGGTTCTAGCTTTGACTTTTCCACAAATTTTGAGGCTATAAAACTGTGGGAAGCACCCGAATCAAATAGTACAAAAGCAGGTGTGGAGTTTACAAGGAAGGTACCTGACACCACATCGTGCGCATTTGCTTGAGCCTGGTTCATGACGTAAATCCGGCCTTGGGTGTTGTTCTGCCCTCCCTGGCCCGGATTACGGTTGGCCTCCGCTGGGCGGTTTCCAGGATTACCACGGTTGTTGTTGGCATGATTAACCCCACCCTCGGCTTGGTTGTTTCCCTGGTTTTGTCCCTGGTTCGTGGGTTTCCTGCACTCGTATGCCCGATGTCCCAAGAGGTTACAGTTGCGACACCTCACCGCATTTCCCGCACAATCCTTCCCGGGATGGTTGTTTGGGCATAATTTGCATCTATGGTGTCGCATCTGAGTTGGCTGGTTTCTGCCCTGCCCCTGGTTTTGGAAATTTCCTCCACCTTGATTGATTTGTCTTTGCTCCGGGCGGTCGGTTCTGGCCTTCTTTTGTTGCTGATCCACCTCAGCATTCTTCCGATCTCTCTTATGGGCTTCTCTCTCCTTCTGGTGTACTAGATAGTACTTACCAGCCTTTCTATAAGCTTCGTTCAAGTTCCGCGGCTCCGCTACTGTCACGAACTTTTGGGCCCCGAAATTAAGCCCGTTAACAAACCTGCGGGTCATACTGGCCTCTGTCGACACCAGGTCCTTGGCAAAACGTGCCAGTTGAACGAATTTCGTGTGGTACTCCTGAATAGTCAGGTCACCTTGTTTAAAGTTGACAAATTCTTCATAATTTGCTTCCTTCACGTGATCTGGGTAGAAGCGATCCCGCAATGCTACTATGAAGTCCTCCCAATCGAAACCCGGTTGCCCGAGAAGTGCTGGTCCGTTGGCGGCCCACCAGTGGTCCGCTTCTTGGTGCAGATAATACACCACAATATTCACCCGTTGCTCCGACGGGCAATTCAGTGAATCAAAGAGCTTGTCGAAGGTGCGGATCCAGTCCTCCAAGATAAGGTGGTCCTCCTCGCCCAAGTATTTTGGAGGGTTCCGTCCGGCTACCTTTGTTGCGTAGTCGATCCCAGGGTTTTGAGGTTGAGCTGCTCCGATGAGCTGCGCCATTCGCTGGACAGTTTGGGCCAGCTCGTCGACAGTTGGGGTCGCATGGATGTCTCTTCTCGGCGGCATGACTCTTAATAAAGAAAACGTGTACTAAGTTCTAAGGCATGCATAAGGCTTCTACGTTATACAAGTTCTCTACTATCTTCAAACAGATAAACACATACAAAGGATCTTACTTACTCCACATACTTCACATAAGCACGAATTTCATGCATTTCATAACTCAATAACTTCGCAAAGGTTTCTCCCTCTCACCGCGTCCTAAAAGGTCTTTTTCCTAGTATGTTAATTCTCCTAATTTTACAAAAACATTTTGAAAAACCCCCGCATCGAAACTATAGTTTTCGTCAAAGATTTAGAACAACGAAGTTTCAGCACAAGGAGAAATTCCCAGTTAGTTGGACGAGCGCAAGGCTCAATTAGGCACCAACTAGCTTAGACTGTTATCGTCTTTGTGACATAATTCCTCCCTACGACCTATTACCTCGTGTTCTAGTCTCTTCGGAAAACTTAAGTCTCTGATACCAATTTGTAACACCCCTAAATTTCCCGCCCAAAACATTGATATATTTAAAAGAAATACTTTATTCATTCATCAAAGAGTTGAAGAAATACAGCGGAAGTCTAAAAGGGAAATGAGTGTTACCGCCACATTCGGTCATCTCTTAACCGAATGCACAGGCAACTCAAAGTAAATCAATAAAAACTAATGTAATAATAAGTAAATGTTTGATTTATGACTAGATTTGACTAAGGCATCTTCTAATTCGCACTCAAGCTCGAGCAATCCGTCAATCCACATAGGTATCCAACTCATCACCTGATAAAATTTAAGGGAGAAGAGAGAGACAAGAAAAATAACAAAAATTAGCTTTAGAGCTAAGTAAGTACTACCCAACCCCGTAAAATAATCAGGTTTGGCTAAAAATAGATTTTTATATAATAATATATAAAAATACTCACACCATCAAAATTCTTTTCACTTTGGTTTTTCTCAAACTACTTCTTTGCTAAAATCTTAAACTTCTCTTGAAAAATCTCTTAGTAACTCTTCTTTTTAAACTTCTTAAGAAAATCACTTCTTCTCTAACTTCCTAGTAATTTAGAAGGGCGGTGCTCAACCTTTCGATAGAGCCCGGTGAACCGTGGTTACGGACGGCCACCCCGAACAAGTGCCGGTACCACAACTGCTCTGTTGGAAACGAAACGACTACCTTAAGTGTGCACACCCCCTAAAAGGGATCCCAAGCCCTCCGAGTAGTAAGTCATCCCGAGTGATCGGAACCCAACCACCCCAATTCTAAAATTCTTGAATGATTAGGGACTACTACTATAACTTCTTCTTAAAAGGGATCATAGATCCAAATCTCACTTAAAAGGGATCATAGATCCAAATCTTACTTAAAAGGGATCATAGATCCAAATCTTGCTTAAAAGGGATCATAGATCCAAACTGTACTTCTTAGTAGTAGTAGCTCTAATCACCCTCCACATTTATCCGGATGTGGAAAAACCGACACCTCGGATTACTCCCGAGATGCTATCTTCTTATGAAAATGTAAATTTTATCTTTGCTTAACAATATTTCAAAAATACTTCTTAATTTCTCAAAAAAAATCTCGAAGGTATTTAAAAATATTTAATACCCCAAAAGTACTTGATTTATACTTCTTAACTACCATATATATAATATCTTCTCAAAATCACATACACAAAATTCACAATTCACACTTAATCACATAATGCATAATAAGCATATAATACGAGAAAACAAATTTTGGATTGGCAGAGAAACTTACCTTAAGTCCTGTTGCTCCTAGTTATCCTCCTCTAATCCGGTCTCTAGATAATCACCTTTTTAATTAAATATGATAAATTAGTCACTTATTCTATTTGTAATTACTTTACCCGATTTTCCCCTTTTATTTTATTATTCGCATAAACTTTGGTTAATCACTTTTTATTAATCAAATTACCTTATTAATTCAGCCATTAATTAAAATATTTGAATTCTAATATTAAATAAAATATCCGAATATTATAGACTACAACATCCACTTTTTATTCAATAATCACCATTAATTTTCTCTAATTATTATCTAATTACTTTATTTACATAACCGAAAATATTTATTTTCCTTATTTTATTCAAACATTATTTTTAGTCCAGAATATTATTTTTCAACCTCAGTGATTTATTTATTTCACCATTAATACTAATATTTCCTTATTTAATTACTTAACTAGTTTTATATGGCCTAATTTAAATAAATAGACTAAAAATCGACTTTATAAATTAGTAACCGTCCATAAATATATTTTGGGTCTATATTAGACCTAGGTTGTCCAGATATCTATTTTATAATTATTTCCCATAATTATTCCTTTAATTTCATATATCTATTAACCGGTTTAATTACAATTAAATATACTAAACCTTATTTTTATTAATTATAAATGGTCCATAAGGTCCTAGTTAGTCATATATTTATCCTAGTTTACTCCAATATTTATTTCATAATTATTTTCGTCATTTAGTTAATTATTTACTAAATGTGTATAAATTGGCCTAATTACCATTAAATCAATTAAAAATAGCTAAAAATATTATTTTCCAATTCTGGTTGGTCCGAATATGTATATTTATACTAGGTATTTAATTTATATTTTTCCAGATTTTATTTATTTCATTTACTATTTTATTTTTAATTTTTATTGCAACTGGGCCGAACTGGCCCATTTATAATTTTTTCTGGCCCAACCTGAAAAGGCCCAAAAGACAGACCCAGCAATTGCTGGGTTGTCTTCTTCCCCAGGTCGCCGGAAAAACGGGGAGAGAGAAAAAAAACGGGGAAAGAGGTTTTACCTCGTCGGAAACGGCCAACGGGGTAGCGGTGCACTCCTCTCGGGACGGCGAATGACGGTGGTGGATTGGCGGAAGTGGCAGCCCCTCCCTCTTCTCCGTTTTCCGTCGAAAAGCTTTTCTCCGGCGAAACTCCGGCGAGGCTTTTCTCCCTCGTTTCACGACCGTTTTCGACGATTCTTTTTCCGTTGGATTCGTATCACGAAGGGGAAGGTTTGAGAAGTATTTTCAGGGCTTGTTTCTGGCTAAAACGCTGGGTCGTAAAAATATATATAAATACGTATATATGTATATTTCTTAGTTTTTGGGATGAAGAAAACGCAGGTTCTGGCCTATTATTTATAGGGGAAGATGAGGGTTTTAGAGTTGGAGTTGGAGTTTAATCAATTTCGTTTTTTTTTTTTTTTTGAAGTTGCCAGCCAAAAATTTACGTATAGTATTGTAATTAGGTTAGGTAGTTGAATATGTATTATAGTAGGAGTATAGTATTATAGTTAGGTTATAGTAGTTTATTTAGGAGTATAGTAATTATATTTAGGTTAGGTAGCTTAGTTTAGTTATATTACGTATGTAATATTACTTAGGTTATACTACTATTACTAAGTACGTATATCTATATATATGTATATATACATATATATATATATATATATGTAAGTATTAAGATTATTTTAATTATTTAGTTTATATTTTGTATATTATACAATCTAAAATAGTTATATAAAAATTAATTTTATACTAAAACATAACTTCTATTATCGGGTCATTTTTATCTGATTAAAAAGTCTTAAACTTGGAAATTTTTATCTGATTGGAATGTTACAACTGTTGAATTTTTGTCTGACTCAATTATTTATAAAAATGTTATTTTCGTAATATTTTATCTGACTAATAAAAATTATTTTTATTTTTATTTAAATTTTTGGAGTGTCACAGCTGGAGGCCGAGCGACGCAAGAACGAGGAAGCCGTGAAGGCGAAAGCTGAGGCCGAGGCCGCCGCTGTGAAGGCTGCTGATCAGGCCATTGAGTAGTTCCTGGCCGAAGGGTGGAAGGCCGATGAGAGGCTCCCCTGGTGCTATGAGGTGGTGGCCGCCAGGCTTGAAGTTTGGGGGATGAACTCCCCCGCCGGCCAGGAGTATTTCAGCAGAGAGATGGCCGTGTATTATAACATGGGCCATGAGCGGATGCAAAGGCTCCTGTGTCGGCGGCTATCTCGTGCTTTGAAGGCCATGAATTACACGTCTGGGTGGGCTAGACGGAACCTGAAGCTTCCAAAGCTGATGAAGGATCCTGAAGAGTAGGCCAAGCTTCCGTTGTCGGAGCGCGAGTCCCCCATTGAGAGTTCCGGCCTCGGCGAGCCGGATTACACGGAGTTTGATTTCCTCAACGATGCCACCAGTGTTGCGGCTGCCGGCGGCCAGGAGGCTGAGGCCGAAGAGGGAGCTGAAAACGTTGAAGAGCCATCCGAGGATGGAGGCGCTCACGAGGCTTGATCGGCTACTCCCTTGCAATTAGTTTTTATTTTTTTGCCCAAGTGATGTAACGGCCGAAGCGCCCACCTTTGTACTGAACTGAATATAAATGAAAATTTTTGCTGTCCTGATCGGCTTTGAATTCCTTGTATGTTTATTGCCTTTTGTCATTTCCGTTCTGAAATTTGTCTAAGTGTCAAGGTCACAACTTGGGTCACCCGTGAGTGTCCGCTACGTCCATGGGGTAGTCCACCCTGTTCGGTGGCCTGGTCGGCTTGTTCGTCGTTTCTTTACTATCATAACACTTAGGAATTTTTTTTCAAAAATTTCCTAAGTGTTTTGGGCTCACTAAGTTGCTTTCTTCCCGGTCTGGTGGCCTTGTCGGCCTGACCGGTGTTGATGTAGCATCATAACACTTAGGATTTTTTTTTAAAAAAAAATTTCCCAAGTGTTTTGGATTCTTGTAGTTGCTTCCCTTCCGGCCTGGTGGCTTGGTCGGCCTGTCTGGTGCTTCCTTACTATCATAATACTTAGGATTTATTCTAAAAAATTCTAAGTGTTTTGGATTCACTTAGGTGCTTGCTTTTCGGCCTGGTGGCTTGGTCGGCCTCTCCGGTGTTGCTGTACTATCCTAACACTTAGGATTTTTTCAGAAATTTCCTAAGTGTTTTGGGTCCACTTAAGTGCTTTCTTTCCGGCCTTGACCGTGGTGCCCGTTCCGTCCTGGCGTTGTCCCATTCTTCTTTTTTGTTAGGATTTTTCTAAGTGTTTAACTTCAAGTGGATGGGTGTTCTCATCGTCCTGGTATCGAGTCTCTCCCATTGTTGGCAAATGATTTGGGAGAGTTGCCCAAGTGTTGAACCAGTGTCGTTGTCGGCCCAGTACTTTTCGTGGCCGTCGTGTTCACTAGCTTCTGATGTGGTCAGGAAGGTCGGCCTGGATCCTTGTGATGTGGCCGATAAGGGCACCTTCACCTTACCCTTTTGAACTTAGAATTTTTTCTAAGTACTTATGCCAGGCGTAGCTAACGGCCTTGGAGTATGCAGGTACCCGCGTCGTCTAGAGTTCCTCCATTTAGGTACTTAGAGATTTTTTCAAGTATAAATGTAAGACAGAGTTCCTTCTTTGCGGTACCGCTGCCGGCTAAGAGATGGCCTTACCCTCATCGGCCGAGGTCTGGATTTGTGGCCGATGAGGGTGTCCCTCGTTTTTTCCGAGAGAAGGCCTTACCTTCCTCGTTGCAAGTAGGGATTGTTTCGTGATTGCTTGATTCTTCCGTGGGTGTTATAAGTGCCCGCTTCGTCCTGGTCATCCTCAGGATTGTGGTTCCTTGTTTCATACCGAGCGTTGGTGCTTCAAAGGACTGTGGCCGATGAAGGTTACCTCTCGCGTGTCACCCAACCGATTTGGTTAGGGTTTTATAGGTGTATGTTTCGGCCTTGGCCATTCCCTTGTGATGCGTGGACGTGTCGTCCATATTTACCTGTCAGTGGTACTATACTTGTGTTGAACTGATACGTACTTGGCCTAGTTGGGCCTGAGCTGTGGGGATTTTATTTTTTCATTGCTCGAGGCCGGCTAGTGTGCGCGGCCGTCGGCTTCCCTCTTTTTCCCTTATATACATTTTTTTTCCGTTTCGGGGAGTATCCTTCTTTCAGGCTTCGGCCGAAGGGTGTGCTCGTCCTTCGGCCGGTTCGGACTTCGTTTATAACGAACGTGATCTCAGGGCGGGTCCCGTCGTCTATTTATGACGCGGGCTAGACTTTTGGTCGGTTTCCAACGACTGTCGTTGCCCATCCCTGAGTTTTGGGATTTTGTCACCTCGGCCATGATTTCAGGCTTGTCGTCCTGCGATCTGGCGCGTGGACGACGCGATGAGCTTCCCGTTTCAAGACGTGGGCCGTTTGCGGGCCCCTCGTCCTGGAGACATCGTCGGCCATACCTGAGCGTTTCACTTCTAGGCTTACGGGGCCAGGATGATGTGCTCTCTCAGCTAGGCCTGAGCCCTTCGCTGATACAAAATACAATGGAGTGCCAGAGCTTGTCGCTCGTAGGCTGCAAATGCAAGGGGCCACGTCGGCCATGCCTCAGCCTTTCGCTCTAAGGTGGCCGACGGGGGCACCTGCATATGTTTTACTTTAATTCCAGAGAAAAAATCAGGAGGAACATGATTTTATTCATAAGTGGCTCGAGGCCGAGGGTGGCATTCAATCAGTAACCCGTTAAGGGGTGAGGGCTTCGCCGTCTGCACCTCCTACGGATTACTGATAAAACTTCACCAGATGGTGTACATTCCACGTTCGTGGTACATTGGACCCATTCGGGCGTTTAAGCTTGTAGGTGCCGGGTTTGACCACGGCACTGACGATGTAGGGCCCTTCGTACTTCAATGCTAGCTTGCCACCCTCTGTCAGCTGGCTTGCTTCCCTTCGGCGGAGGACGTAGTCCCCCACCTGAAATTCCCAGGAACGTACCTTGGCGTCATAGTATGATTTTACTTGACGCCGGTAGTTCTCTGCTCGGATGTAAGCTTGCTCACGCCTTTCATCGACCAGGTGCAGGTCAATCTTCATGTTCTCTTCGTTGGCGTCAGGCTCATATTGTTCCACCCGTCGGCTGGGGATGGCAACTTCCGTGGGTGCCTTTGCCTCGAAGCCGTAGCATAGGGCGAAAGGCGTTTCACCTGTCGCCCTCCTCGGCGTGGTTCTGTAACACCACAGGATGTTGGGGAGCTCGTCGACCCAACTACCTCCTACGGCCTGGAGCTTCTTCTTCAGCCCCTCCATGATTGTTCTGTTGGCGTTCTCGACCTGCCCGTTGCCCTGAGGATAGGCAACGGAGGAGAAACGATGCTTCACCCCAAACTCCCGGAGGAGCTCCTGAAAAGGGGATGCCTCGAATTGAGTGCCGTTGTGTGATATAATCTCCTGGGGACGCCGAAGCGTGTGATGATGTTCTTGTAAACAAATTTTTGGCATCTGGCCCTCGTGATGCTGGCCAGGGGTTCCGCCTCGACCCACTTGGTGAAGTAGTCGACGACGACGATGATGTAGCGGTTGTTCCCGGCGGCTCTGGGCAGGGGGCCGACCAGGTCAATCCCCCATCTAGAGAATGGAATTGCAGTGCTGACGGGGGCGTAGTTGACGGCTGGCCGACCAGGGGCCTTCTGGAGCACCTGGCACGTGGTACACCTCCTGGCCAAATCCGTGCAGTCTCGCGCCATCGTCGGCCAGAAGAAGCCCTGGACGACGAGACGTCGGGACATGCTGAAAGGGCCCTGGTGCGAAGAGCAGACGCCGCAATGAACTTCTTCCATGGCCATGTCGGCCTCGTCCTGGTGCAGGCATCGGAGGAGAGTGCCATTATAGGACCGTTTGTAGAGTTTGCCATCTTCGATGGTGTAGCTTGGGGCCCTGAGTTTGGCAAGTTTGGCCCTCTCCTCGTCCGGGGGCAGCTCCCCCGCTGTGATGAAGGTGGCGATGTCGGAGATCCAGTCCTCTGGTCGCTGTTGGACGCACAAGACGGGGCTGGCATGGATGCTGGACATGCTCAACTCCTCGATCTTGGCCAACTGGGAGATGTGCTCCGAGGTGTCCGAGCTGAGTTTGGAGAGGATGTCGGCTTCGGCGTTCTCGGCCCTTGGGATCTGAGTGATCTCGTGGGTTTCAAACGCTTTCAGCAACTCCTCCGCCGCTTGTTTGTACTGCTTCATCCGGCCTTCCTTTGCTTCGTACGATCCCTCCACCTGGCCCACTACCAGTTTGGAGTCGCACTTGATTTTGAGGTGCTTGGCCTTGAGGCCGGCGGCGAGTCTGAGCCTGCTGAGGAGGGCCTCATACTCGGCTTCGTTGTTGGATACCCTGAAGTTGAAGCGGATGGCATAGTAAGCTCTGAATCCTTCAGGGGATATGAGGACGACGCCGCCACCGCATGATTTCGCGGCCGACGAGCCGTCAGTGAACAGGGTCCATGTATCGTCCGGCTCCGGCCCGGGGTTGGCGACGGCCGTCTCCCTTGTTGTGCATTCAATGA